ACACACACACACACACACGCACACACACACACACACGTGCACACGTACGTACGCACACACACGCACACAGACACATGCACACGCACGCACACACAGACACACACACACACATACGTACACACATGTATATATCTGCAAAATTATGGATAAAATTTCCAAAACATTTTTGAACCTCCTGAAATCCTGAAAGGTTCATTACATTCATTCCATTTTACTATTATTTATAAATTTATTTCATTTCATTGGTATTTTTGTATCATTTTTATCGCTTTATTTTATCATTTGAATAGAAATGTATAAAAATATTTGTATGCTGCCTTTTTTTAAATGCAAACAATGGTAAAAAGACTGTGGTATTTACTTCTTTAACTGAAGTACTGTAAAATTGTTACAATTTCATAAAGGAAGCGCAAGTATCAATTGGGTTACAATATCACAAGGAGCAAATGCCATTTGGATTACGATATTATAGAGCGCAATTGTCAATTGGGATACGATATCACGAAACTCAGGTGTTAAATTGGTATGCAATATCATAAAATAGCAAATAGTTTAATTTGAAAATAAAATGTTCTATGCATTTGTTTCACCATCTTTTTTCGTTTCATTCTTTCCTTTATGCTCAATAACAAGTGTTTTCACATCACGACGATGCAAAATTGAATCTCGAGTTAATGCTTCCAATGCTGCTGTTGCAATTGCTTCTTGTCGACGTTGACGTAATGCATCACGATACTGTACTGTAAAAATATATTTTTATATTTGCAGTAAAAAAAAAAAAAAAAAACACCTAAAGATTGATGATCGGAAAATTTCTTCTAAGTTGTAAATTAATTAATTAGTATGAGTAGCAGTATTTTTGTGAATAATACTTGCAAGAATTACTGTTTAAAATGAAGAATTCTTCTTGATTGCTAATGTTTATTTATATTATCGTTTGATTTGTGGGAGGAATTTTCCAGATTGTAATTGAGATTTGCATTTACAGTAAACATAATTGCACTTTATTGGAATGTTTTTTTTTTCTATAAAAGGAATTGGAAAAGATAAAATTCGGGAAAGAATTCGCTTAAATTACATTTTATTGTATGTTATTTTAATTTTTGAAATTGAAAAACTTGAAAACAAAAAAGTTATCATACCAGAATAGATAATAAGTAAGCCACCCCAAGCCATTGACCAAAACCATCCAACAAACAAGAATGTAATGGTAAAAAATTGACTAATACCAACTAATGAATTAATAAGTATGGTCATTAATTTTCGTCCCTCACGATAATTTACACGCGTTTGACCAAGACATAAGGCAAAAAATCCACTCATTATTGTTCCTGAATAATATTTTTAATTGGTTATCAATTTTATTGATAATCAATTAAAATTTGGGAAGGAATGGATGAATCATTATCTCATCAATTAGTTATCAAAAAATCCAATTGAATTTATCACCATATATTGATACTATCAAAACATGTAAAATAACCTTATTCTCGGTTACTTCAAATAATCTGAGAATAAATTTGAATCAAATTAATCGATATCAGTAAAACACTAAATGGGATGGTTCAAGTTTTGCTTATACGTTCCCGCGAATATCTATTATCTGGTGAACTATATCTAACCTACCAAAAATGTAAATCCCACAAGAATATATATTGCACAATATCTTTGTAATCTTTACCAGTATACCTTTAATACAAATTCATAATAAATGATATCGATTATTTTCTTCAAAATATCCCAAATATTGTTAATAAAAAAAAAAGAAAAGTAAATTTCCGATATATTCGTTAATTATTTTTACAGCTATAAGATATCATTTTAAGATAATTAAATGCAAAAAAAAAGAAAAAAAATTTTAAATAACTGTGAAATATAATTCATACATACCTAATCCAGGCATAATAACATTAATTATAGCACAAAATATAGCAACCGGTAATGGAAGGAATGGTACCGCAGAATGCATTAAAGTGATATCATTGGTTGGTAGATGAATTCGTACATCACCTGGGCGTTTATCATTTTGATCAGTGTCAGTTTCAACTACTTTTACCAAACTTGTCAAACTAAATCCTTTCCCATTTTCCTATAAATTGTTAACAGATATTGAATTAATAATGATAATGATAATAGGGAACAATAAGAAGTATGGATTAAATTGAAGATGCACCGAAATGATTGATGTTATAAAATGTTGTAAATTTTTTGCAATTAATTAATTTCAAAATTTTTGTTATTTTTTATTTTCAAATTTTATAAGAAGTAATATGGTAAAAAAAAAAATCTTACCCTTAATACTGAATAATTTAATCTAAAATGTCATTTTTCATTAATTTTTGCAAACATTTTAATTCTCATTCATTCCTTTTTTATATTTCATAATTAAAACTCTTTCTTTTTTCAAAGTATATATTTTCAAATTTAATTTAAATAATTCAAATTTCTATTACATTATTTTTATTCCTTCGTTCTTACCTTTCCTTTTTTTTTTTTTGTCGATTAAACCAATCATCTAATAGGTGTAAGGGAAAAAATAGCGATCGGATGACAATTTGCGTACAAAGTTGACAATGATAGGAATTAGAAGAAATAAAATGATGTAAAAGAAGGGAATTTTTTTAGCTTATTAAGTAAAAATTGATTAGAATAATTACGACATAACGAATATATAAAGTTGTAAAATAAGATAATTTGTGAAATTTCTTCAGTTGCTATAATTTGTTCACTTTTCAATTGATTAGAATTTGATTAATTAATTAAACGATGGATACTTTTAATGTTATGATCGGAAATTTTGTTAATTTATCATATCAATTTCAAAATTTTTAAGCAAAAAAATTTGACATACACTTTCGTTATCTTACAAATAATCGAATTTTTAAAAAATTGAATAAAATTAAAATACAACGAAAATAAAGCATTTACATTAAAATTAAAAAAAAAAAAGAAAAAAATACTGTAAATAATAATTCCATCATGATTATGACCTTTTGATGTTTCGGAATAATTCCTTGTTCAACACCATAATCGATTATATCCGGTAGCATTGTTTGCACCTTCTTCCATTTTTTTGAAACCTCAGCTGAAATTTTTAATTTCATAACTTCAAATATATCTAAAAAGCATAAATCAATTTTTTTTTTTTAAAAACAAAAGAAAAAAAAACTGTCCCTATCTTCTCCAGTCATTTTAAGCTTCCAATTTTACAATTACATTGATATCTTTTTGTTGAATTTTGAAAAAAAAAAAAAAAAACGCTATAAATTTTAATTTATCCAAATCAATTAATTTAAAAATTGTGAAAAATTAATTTCATAAAGTTTTAATAACTTCAAAATAAATGAGAATTGTGTATGAAAAAAAAATAATAATAATAACAGTAATTTTTTGTTTTTGTTTTTTTTCCCTTTTTTTTTTTTTACAAACTTACCAATTTCTCTTTTTGGTGGTTGTTGTTGTTGTCGTGATTCATTCATTTTTAACAAATTTGCATTATTTAAATAGCTACAAAACTATTTCATTTTGTTTTTTCTTTAGACAAAGAATTCCATTTTATATAAAATTTATGCACCTTTCTTTCTTTCTTTTTTTTTTTTAAATCTGAAAAATGGGTAAATTGAATAGTAAAGAAAAATATATGCATGCATTTGAGGGAAAAAGAAAAAGTTCATTAATTAAATTTAAAGATTATTTCATATTTATAATATTTAATGAAATTAATTTCATAAAACAAATTAAATCTCAAAATATTTCAACAATTTATGCTAATTTTGTTCAAGTAATAAATTGTAAATTTGTAATTCATTAAACATAATTTTGCATTAATTCAAATATGACATGATTGATAATGTAAAACGAGCGAAACTAAAATAGTTTGGATTTAAATAATTTAATTAACTTATCATTGAATCAAATTTAATATCATACCGAAAAAAAAAACAGTTTTAAAAAATTAATAAACATATTACGTGCAATGTAATTATTAATAACATATGGATAATATTTAAAGAAGAATGTAAAATGAAACGTTGAAATATGTTGACTGATTGATATCGTAAAGAAAAACTAATAGTTTGGATTTTTAAATTTTTTTTTTTTTAATAAGCTAAAAGAATAATTTAGTAAATTTTATCCTGTTCTTTCTTATTTTTTTTTTCTTTTGTTTTACTAAAAAAAAAAAAAAAAATGAATAATGTAAAAAAAAATAACAAGCATAAGCTAAGAAAAAAAAAAAAAAAAAGAAAGACACCACCATAAGGCTACATATTTCCGGATTAGGTATTTATAAAAATTTGGTCTGCTTCTCACCTCATATGATTGTTCGTTTTTTAAAAAAGTTACATTATTTTGAACTTTCAGGAAAAAAAAAAAAAGGAAAAGAGGAAAAAGACGCAAATATCAATGAAGCTTTTCTAGTCTTGTTAAATCCTAACTAAAGACAACATATTATTGCTTTTTCATTTTCAATTTTCTTTTATGTACTATC